CACAGCAGCCATGGCAATGCAGAGCTGAAGGCGCCCACGGTCCGTGAGCGCTGCTGACACGAGCCTCCCGCCGGCTACTTTGTCCGGGGCACTGGTGACACCGACCTGGCGCCGGCTTCCACGGCCCCGCCCCCTTCCCAAGGGCCTGGCACGGCGGGGACGCGCACGTACACGCCGCGTCCTGCGCGCGCACGTCAGGCGGCGTCACATACGTCGCGCACGTGCGCGCTGCTCCATCTTCGTGGGTCGCGCATGCTCACGGGCGTGCACTGCCCACAGCGGCGCCGACCCGCAGCTGGGTAGAGGGGCCGGGAGGGTTGGGGCCTGGGGCGCTGGCGTCCCAAGGCACGACCCTCGTCCCTTCGTTGACGGGGACTCCCCCGACACCTCCAGTCCGTCAGCTTCCTGAACGCCGGGAATCTCACCGTGGGGTCGCGGAGTTCCTCCTTTCCGCCGAGCAGTAGCTGCCTCCTACCCACCCCAACCCGCGCGAGGCTCCCGCGGCCCTAGTCCAGGCCTCCGAGCTCACCCGCCGCGTGGATCTGAGGCCGGGGTTGTCCCCACGAGGGACTGGAGGCCGCGCAGACCAAGCCGGGGGCTGCGGGGATGGGATGCGCATGCGCAGAGGGCGCGGCGCGGCGGCCCAGAGCTGGTGCCGGGCTCCTGGTTATTGGGTAGGCTGCTGGGAAAGGCTAACAGCCAAGGACTCCGCTCGTCAGCTGTGAACTGAAGCTGGTAATAAGAATGCCTGACAGCAGCGGTTTTGTGAGAAAGGCGTTTTAGGTGGCCGAAGTACTGGAACAGTGTTGACACGCATTGTTAGTACTTTGTCCAGGGTTCCCCTCCCGTTGCCGATCACCTCGCTCCTGGCCCAGGTGGGTTGCTTGAAGAGGTTCTCTACCTTGGTTAGTGAGTTGAGAGATTACCTTCTCATTGCGCCTGTGTGGAGCCAGGGTCCTGTCAGTGCCCCAGAGTTCAAGGATCAAACCAGTATGACCCCCTGCATACGAACCATAAGGGGAATTTGAACTCCATTTATGAATGTGGACAATACATTTATCTGAAGTCTAAGAAAATATCGCTGAAATAGCATCTGAACCCATCATGGTTATTCTCTGGGATGAGGCAAAAGACAAGCAGGATTAAATCAGAATAAAATTGCTTTTATGCCAAACTTAAGAAAACACATTCGTCACCCAAACCAACCATAATTAAACATTTATCCAAGATTAAACATTCTTTGTGCACATCTTTCTGACATTTCTATCATGCTATGATTATATGGGCATGTTATATATAACATTTTTCTTTAAAAAAATATCAACTCTGGGACCAGCAGTTAGCATAATGGGCTATGTCGCTGGACTCCCAAGTAGTCGACCTGGTGGCTTAAACTCACGCCGGGCACGTATGTGTGCATGCCCAAGATCCCGAGAGGAGAATGGAGGAGAAGGGATTGCAGTGTGGCCATCCCCCTGGGGGGCGATTTCTCGCTTTCTGTCTCTCTGTCTCTTTCTGGCGACCGCACTGCCCCTATAGCAAAACAAACAAAAACCTCTCCAAAAAAAAAAAAAAAAAAAAAAATCAACTCTTGGGGCAAGCAGGTGGTGAGGTGGTTAGGGTGGTAGACTCCCACATAGCTGACAGCGGTTTGAGTCATGGACCCAGGGGCTTGAAAGATCACTCCAGGTGTATGTACATGCATGCCCAAAATCTAGGAGAAAAATGGAGGAGATAGGATTGCAAAGTGGCCAATCCCCCCTGGGGGGGAGTGATTTCTCTTTTTCCCTCTCACTTTCTCTCTCTGGCTAGTGCACATCCCCTACAGCAAAATTCTAAAAAAAGAAAAAAGAAAACCCAAAAACTATTTGATGTCGTTTTTTAAATTTTATTTTACAGAAACAGTTTCCATATACATGCATTCTTTGTTTTGCTGAGTACTAGTCCATTTACAGATGTTCCACAATTTGTCAAAGAGGAAGAGAAAGGCAGAGTGGCACTCTCAATAGGAATTTATGCTGTGACCTGTCCTTAGCTTTAGCCAGCACCAGATTACGAGTATGTATGTGCCTGGCATGTTTGGGAGGTCGTGGAATGCAAACCTGGAATCTCCCCATGTATGTCATCCTTGAAGAGTATTGTGTCACTGTTGTGGGACCATCTTGCCCCTGTTATGTAGTGGTTTTGCTAATCAATTACACATATTTTTTAATCTTGTTGGCTCACCAGTTACCTAGAACTGCATTTCTTTAGGAAAAAAAATAGATAAGGGAAAAAAATGCATTTCTTAATTTTTAAACTTTGATTTATTTTTATGGATTTAGCTCCTTTCTTTATTAATGGGTTCAGGGGTTTTGGTACTATTTTTTGTTTGTGTTTATCAGAGACAATAAACCATAGACTCTATACTTGCATGGTTTAAACTGCTTGAAAAAAGATAATTTATGGTGGCCATGATAGAATTAGGTATGAGAAACTGTAGCATACTTGTCTGCAAATTTAGAATGTTAGTAGAACCTCTCAGAAGACATAACTTAGACAGATCTTCAAGGTTTGAAAAACTTTCCAATATAAGGAATCAGCAGGTGGCGTGGTGCTTAAGCTGCTGGACACTGTCATGTGGCCAACCAAAGCTGGAGTCCTGGACTTGGTGCCTTGCTTTCTCACTTTCCCTTTAATGTTCTCCCTCTGTGTCTGTCTCTCTGGTCAAAAAAAAAAAAAAAAAAAAAGAATGAATAAAATTTAAAAAAAAATTAAACCTTTCTAGTACAAAATGTGTAAAAGTACAATCTAACCACAAAGACACACATGTAGGTTAACATAGTTCTGAAAAATTGGAATCTGTAATGTAGACCAAGCACAGCAGTTGTCACAACTAACGTCTTTTTATTTTTAAATTGTCAGAGGGCATGTGCAGTCGCGCACGCGCGCGCACGAGAGAGAGAGAGAGAGAGAGAGAGAGAGAGAGAAAGCATCCACTTGCCTTTCGAAGTATGGTTTCATCACAGTCCTTTTCCCTCTATTTCTTCATTGCATCAAAATTCTGTGCATACATGCAGATGTGCCTGATGTGTTTCTCAAGCTGCTGAGGGTAGGTTTTGTTGATGGAAAATAATCAACTCTGCAAAAATAATAATGCTGTTTTGTTTCTAAAAGAATGAGTCACTTACAACATAGAGGAGGCAAAACATGACTTTCTCTCAGGGTGATCAGGTGCAAAGTTTCCTTTTATTTGATTTTGAGAACGAGAGACAGAGTTTTGGATTTGGTGAAGTTTTTCCTTAGGTCTGGCCCAAAAAGGCAGGACATGTGAAATAGGGTTTTGTAGGTTTTAGGTGGGTTTTACAGTTTTTAGAGGTGGGGGGGGGAGGGAGTGTGATTGGAAAAGGAAGGTTGCTGAGATAGGAATGTACTTTAACAGTGCTAAAGAGGCTTAATATACATCACAAAGATACTCCAGTACTATGCCAGGAGCAGGATGTAGGAAGAATCCTGTTAGCAATGGGTCAAAATGATCTATTAACATTTGTGGACTTGACTCCCTCTAAGCCCTCTGAAAATGATTTTGGAAAAATAGAAAAACCAGTCAGACTTCTGTTCACAGGTTTGAACTGCACCTAACTATGAGGAATTCAGCTCCCAGTACACAGCATTAACCACTGCTTCTGCTTTTGAAGTGTCATGAATCACATGAGTAGTCATTTCTCCCAAATTTAAGGAATTTGGTCTTTATTCATTGAGAAAAAGGGCAATAGCAAAGTTTGTCTTTTATTCTTTTTTTTTTTTTTTTTATGAGGTTTTGCCATAGGGCACATGTGATCACTGGAGAGATAGACAGACAGTGAGAGGGAAAGTGAGATATCACCCTCAACAGGGGATGGCCACACCACAGTCCCTTCTCCATTTTCCTCATGGGATCTGGGGCACGCATGTGTGTGATTGTCAAGCCACTGGGTTGCGGATTTTCAGCACTTGAAACATACCATTCCATTTACTCTTGGCCTGTATTCTTGGGACCAGCAGTTAGTGTAATGGCTATGTCGCTGAGCTCTATGTAGCGGACTGTAGTTTGAGTCCTGCACCCGGTGGCTTAAACTTACGCCAGGTGCGTGTGCATGCGTGCCCAAGATCCTGAGAGGAGAATGGAGGAGAAGGGATTGCGGTGTGGCCATACCCCCTGGGGAGTGATTTCTCACTTTTTATCTCTCTGTCTCTGTCTTTCTGGTGAGCACACAAGCCCTATAGCAAAAACCTCTCCCCCCAAAAAAGAAATTATTCTTATAGTAATGGGGTTTCCCATATATGTGACTTGATGTTTTTTTCTCTTGTTGCTCTTAGAATTTTCTCTTTGACTTTTGCTAGTTTGACTATGATATACCTAAGAGACAGCCTTTTTATGTTTAATTTATTTGGAGATCTTTGTCTTTCCTGGACCCAGATGTCCCTTTCTCACACAAGACTTGGGAAAT